CGTCTGTAGGTTATGGCGGCCGCTTGCCATCAGGCGGGCCATATTATGCTTGTTTGCCACTATTTTCACATAAATCGGCACAAACTTTGTAAGCCAATAGTCTATGCTATCCCCACGCAAAATACGCACTGGGTGTCGAGTTGCGGAAACAGCCCGTCGTATTACTAAGACTAAGGTTCGTATTACAGAATGACAACTAAGAGTAGATCTTTACTTGAGTACAGTTAGAAAGGGATGTCGTTATGTAGTATATATAGCGACATCCCTTTCTAACTATGCTCAAGACTAGATCAATTACTGAGAATCTTTCTATAATACGGGCCTAAGACTAGTCTATGCTATAGAGTTATAGACTATCAGCCTCTACAAATTTAAGTTCAGGAGTTACACGAACTCATTCCGCCTTCCCCTTCTACATTCGGACTTCCAGATGCACGGAAGGTTTACCATCCATTCTTGGTTGCTATTCCTCCCCTTCACATCAAACGCTTCTCAAATACTTTTAAAATGCGTACAGCGAAGGAGTGGTATGGCCCGCCCGCATCTGAGTACCTAAATTATAAACCGGCTCTTTTTAAATAGATCCCATTTCTGCTCTCGGGGCGTATAGAGGATCATGAGCTTGACCATAAACAAATATAAATAAAATAAGTTTTCTGCAATGAAGATGTTCCAGGATTATGAACAACTAGCTGTGCCCCGCGGTGTTACCTGCGGTTTATTAGGGATATTTTCCCGCAGTAAAACGTAGCCTATGTGTTAATCCAGGGTGTCAGTTAACTCCTTACCAAATTTTATTAAAATTGCTCCAGCCGTTTAGACGTAAAGAAGTAACAAACATACACACTTACAAACTTTTGCCTTTATAATATTAGTGTGAAGTATAAAAGCATTTTCTGATTAGTTCCTTAAGTTTCTGGTGTTTTGATATTTTAATGAGGGTGGGATCATTGCCGTCTTTAGAGCAGTTACCCCACTTTTTGAGTACAATACACTTTTGATCCGTTAAAATGGAGGGATATTATTCGGCTCACCTAAAACGTGATGACGGACTGATTCGTCGGATAACTGACACTTTCGTTGGAGAACATCGAATGAAATCAAGTCCGGAAGAGAATTATAAAACGTTAAACGATGAATCTCCCGAGTAATTTGCATTACAAAGTGATTTGATTCGCATCACGCAATTTTATAAATTTATTCGACCAAAAACTCTGTCAAATCTATGCAGCTACGAAAATATACGCCGAGACAATTTAGTCAGTACTGAGAAATTTTATAAACAATCCGTTAGTTATTTTTATTAACAACAAATTACACATAGACTAATTAAATATGAAACGTTGAAACCATCAACAAACGCTCTCGAACTACAACCGCGAAATAACTGGAAACAGATTTGACCGGAGCGCCGCGGGTTGCGACGTGTGATCGCGATAAAGATCGAGTGGTGCGATTCATTCTAATTCTAAGTCGCCATATGCAGAGCGTCGTAAGGGTGAAAGTGAAACGACATCTCCACATGTTTACAACTCATGCGTTTTACCTACATATTTATAACTAGCGCGCTAGTAATCCCTCAATTGCACTGGACTTTTCTGGAATGCGTCCATTCTCGTATACGCATCCAGCACCGCACAGTGCACAGTTGAGTCACAACAGCGATTTCGGAACGAATACAAATATGATCATAGTGCAAGTAAAGTGTTCAAGTGCGATTGTTTACAGACTTGCATAGTGTACAGTGAGTGTAGTACTGTGTGTTTAGGAAATAACTGTGTGAATTATGTGGTTAATAAAGAATGTCAAGCGTGAACTGGCATGTAATTTCAAACCCCATGCCGACACGTAACAATATCAATAGATTGAAGAGAGTTTTGAAATAAATACAAAGCCTTTGCTAACGCCAAAGATCTATACGTAAGAAAGAGTGCAAAGACAATTCGCCTTACACTTGCGACGATTCCGACACTTCTCTATTGCAACTTCAATATTTACCAATCACAAAGTATAACTATGTACTTGATTTTACATAACTTTAATTCGGAGATAAATGCTTGTGTTCATCACATGATCATAATGATTTTCCAAACAATCCATTAACCAACCAACCATCGCTTAGAAGGCGACATTATTTGGAACGACAGAATTCACGAGCTCAGCACAGCGAGCAGAAGGTATCACACAAACAACTGCAAGTGTCAACACTTTAGCGTCAGTCGCACCTGAGAAATATCACTGGGAAAATCCCACATTTGTAGAAAAAGGAGAACACATTCTTTTCACGGAACTCGACATACGCGTGCTCTTCTTTGGGAATATGGAGGGTCAGTCATGATCTTGCGGAGAGGAAAACGAAGAATACTACATACTACAAGAATGCCATATCATAAGAGAGGTAAGGTTTTGCGGATTTCCCCCTCGAATTGGAGCGCTCGTCTGGGGAAGCAACTTCCACCTTACAAAAGACCACATTAAAAAAAGTTCAATTAAAAAAATCAAAAAACCCGACTGCGACAAACAAAGCTACCTTAGCAGTCGGGACTCATTATTGAACAAGAAAATAACCATTCCTGAATATCTAATGGGCCCCGAATGTTAAAATAGCTTAGTAGAATGTTAAAATGCACAGGTTTTATTTCTTTATTAATGTTTCGAATCCTTTACAGGATGCGTCGTCTGAATAATCCTGATACATCCTGTAACTGATGCGAAATGTCAATAAATAAATAAAATCAGTGCATCTATACCGTTGACACTTGTTTTATTTACGTTTTTTTATTACACACTTTTTAATTAGGATTATAAGACGGTATATACCGCAGTCAGTAAGGAAATTAATATCGCGGGATTTATTGAATACCTTGCGGTGGTCTACACAATACAATTTACGCAAAAATGTGTGAAGTTAAATCAAACCTATATACACAGTCAGGTCATAAGTATTGTCACACAGTAAAAACTTTTCTTTTAGAATTCTGACCACAAAAAGTTTATTGAATTCGAATTTCGAATTGTCGATGAAAAGAAAAATGTATACTTTTTAGAATTTACTCATTTTTAAATATGGAGTAGACGCTTAAAGACGACCGTGTTGCAGTTATTGCGTTGCATCGTTGCGGTTACGTGCCAATTCAAATTTTTGACATACTGAAAAATTTGAATATAATAATAATAATATAATAATAAGATTTATTGACCAAAAAAAAATCAGTACAGTAAGATTACGTAACAAACTTAGTTACAGAAAGTAATATAACCAAAAGATTCGTTTATCGTAGGTACCATTAAACGATACAATGAAGACTCTAGTGTAGATAATAGGTCAAGAAGTGGTCCCTCTCGGTCTATTAGGACTCCAGTAGTGATAAAAGCTATGAAGGCGCGAATTCAAAGAAATGCCAAACGCAAGACGCAGAAACTGTTGGCCCTTCAGATGGGGTTAAGCAGAACCACGGTGAAAAGGGTGTTAAATGAAGACTTAGGGCTTCGGGCATATCGAAGAAAAACAGGACATCGTTTGAATGCTCGTCTAATGGACCTGACACTGAAGAGATGCCGCGCTTTGTTGAAGCGGTACGCGGAAAAAAATATCGGGAAATTCTTTTTTCGGATGAAAAAATTTTTACCGTAGAAGAGAGCTACAACAAACAAAATGATAAGGTGTACGCACACAGTAGTGAAGAAGCGAGCAACCGCATTCCGCATGTCCAACGAGGTCATTTTCCATCCTTGCTCATGGTATGGTTGGGAGTTTCTTATTGGGGCTTAACAGAGGTACATTTTTGTGAGAAAGGTGTAAAAACGAATGCAGTTGTGTATCAAAATACAGTCCTGACGAACCTTGTGGAACCTGTTTCTCATACCATGTTCAATAACAGGCACTGGGTATTCCAACAAGATTCTGCGCCAGCTCATAGAGCGAAGAGCACACAAGACTGGCTGGCGGGGCGTGAAATCGACTTGATCCGGCACGAAGACTGGCCCTCCTCCAGTCCAGATTTGAGTCCGTTAGATTACAAGATATGGCAACACATGGAGGAAAAGGCGTGCTCAAAGCCGTATACCAATTTGGAGTCACTCAAGACATCCTTGATTAAGCAGCCACCGATATTGACATGGACCTCGTTCGTGCTGCGATAGACGACTGGCCGCGCAGTTCGAAGGCCTGTATTCAAAATCACGGAGGTCATTTTGCATAAACTTTATTGTCATAAGAATCTATGTTTTGTTAAGTTCATTTTGGTATAAAGATGGTCACATAATGAATAAACTTGTTTCAATTATTTTATATTAAACATGTGACAGAATTTATGACCTGACTAAGTATATATCTAATGCATGTAAATTCTATAGTCAACTAGTAATTATTCAGAAAGTCATCTTTTTTATGTTCTTTTTAGTAGTAAATATAAAATTATTTTATTCGTCGACTATCCAAAATTGGTAGTGGCTGCAATGTCAACGTCCGGCTCTAAGATTTAATTTATTTATTTATTATCAGGCTACATAGGCCCATAGATAAATAACTCATAGTCTAACATATATACAGATATAAAAACATTATTGTTAGTATATAAAATAAGTAACTATGTTAGCAAACACCTAATTAACACGTATAGACGGCGACGTGTGACGCGTAGTATATCAGGTAACCGGCCTCGGAATCGCCGGAACACAACACTTTTCACCCAAAGTTCTTCTTTTATAAAAGTCGCTAGATAATTGGTCGGCACCCTCAGCAAAAATAAATAAAAATTTACATTGTGATGGGACTCCAACCGTGCGGCCCTCCGGGAGAACTTCGTCTTTACTCGCATGTACTCTACGATCTTATCTTCATTCGTAGAGTAATGCAGTCGGGACACGTACAGCGGCGTCGTCGGTATTGCATGACACAGCAGGTGGTTCGGTCCGGTCGGGGCAACACCACACAAATTGCGGCAAGCGGGCGTCCTATTCTTCGTTTCCTCTTTGATGAAGAACTCTTCGACGTAAATCTAATTTTGTGACACTGTCGGAGTAGCACGTTTGTCACAGAGTTGGCTACTCTTCTCTTTTGGATACACATCGGCATGCAGGCTGGCGGCTGCAACTGCGTAAGCACGTTGCGGTGTGGACGTGCATGTGCGTGACGGCACCGGCGAGGTAGAGGGGCGCGCAGCGGCGGCGGTGGGGCGCGGGGCATCGCGCGAGGTGATGGCGGTCGGTGACGCGCTCTCAGGCACCGACTCAATACTGCCGACGGATGCATTTTGTGCCACGCGACGTGTCACCTCAGAGGCCTCGGGTTACCTACTTGCACCGGAAGCGCTACTTAAAAGCGCTACCTGAGCGCGCAACACAACTATGGTGTTGTTTGAGTCCTCTAACCTGCTCACTACATCGGCCAGACTCACTTTCAGGAAGTTGATTTCCTTCAGCAGCTTGGTGACGTCGACGTGGCCGAAAGTGACGGGGGCCAGCTCCTTCGCCACGCATGTAGGCACATCGTCCGGATCGGTTTCCTTCAGCAGTGTGATGATGTCCTGCACACTCTCCTCAGTACCATCTCTCTGTCTTGATGACATCTTGTAGGCCTTACCGACAGACCGGAACAACAGCACCTTGCCACTGCAAACCTCATCTTCTTTGAAGTTTGATTTACAGATTTGCAGGATGTTGAACTCGTCCAAGGTGTCGATGGCGTTTTGGATAAACGCCAACAACTCGTTAACTATAAGTTGTTCGAAACTCATAGCTACAACGGCGGACAACGGCTGTTGCCGTGTGCGATGTGAATAATAATTCTCACAGCATAGTGGCGCACGGCCGTTTCTAAGCGCGCATCGCACTGCAGTCATTTTGATATACACAAATGCAATGCCATAATTTTATGTCTTATAATTTGTTTTACCTACTTAATTTACAGAAACCAAATATGTAGATGCCAGAAGTAAACTTCAAATGTTGTTTAATATCCTATATATACAATACAAATCAATGACGTGATGTCGCAGGTTGACAAAAGCAATAATTCTCGTCTGTTGTTTTGGACACTGGTGGCAACTGCCTTAGGTCGCTAAATAATTATACAATCACCAAAGAAATGTTTACAATATTTTATTTAACTAAAGGCGTAGAATAAAAATTCCTTAGCGTTTGAGGTACAGTACCGCAGCAATCTCATTTATTATCAGTTTATCACCCAATGTATAGATTTCCATCTTTGTCGTTCTCTTATAAAGCGTTTACCAGTTACAGATCCCAGGTTTTCTGGTCTACCTTTTTTTATTGCTTGTGTAAAGTTCGAATTAAAAGTACTTCCATCTGTCAATTTACTAATTATACTAATAATAAAATAAACTATTTATACTAATATCTAAGCAATAGAGTTGTGTTTGTAACCAATAATTTCTCAAACTACTGAACCGATTTCGAAAATTCATCCACTATAAGGTAGCTACATTATTTATTATATTTTCAAGCATTCATCTCAATGTCGTTGATTAATGTGCTTGATTTATAAATCTAAAGATTTTTTTTACTTGGAAAAAAATTAGTCTAACAATTACTTTGAGAGGAAGTAAAAGTTTTCTTATAACTACATTACATTCAATTTTAATTATCATAAATACCTATTATGATAATTTTCATCATTTAATAAGAAGGAACTTTATCACAGTTTTATTGTAAGTACTTCGTATTGGATAAAATACTTCTTTTCTTCAAAATTCATCAAAATTCTACTCCCACCATTAACGCAGAATGCTCCTGCGAAGTACGCCGCGTTTTTCACATGTTTATCACTTTTTCATCGTTGTAACTTTTTAAATATTTGTCACAATGACATAGAGTAAAAGGCAAAGTTCAAAGTCTTTAAATATCAAACGGGATAAAAGTATTTGTTTTGATAAGAAATAATTTGTTAATGCAAAATGTGCATTTTGGAAATGGATCCCTATCAAATATTATTTTATTTTTTATTCACTATTTTAGCGGTAATGACTTACACATTAAAATAGATAATATGCTGTCGCCGACTTTTTTGAAGAACTATTTAAGAGATGCATTTCCAATGTACATAATATTCTTGTAACTTTTACTGTTTTTGCAGTTCAGGCCAAATAGGCTAGTAAACGGGAGATTTTTTCCGTCTTACGTGACATTTATATTTTGCCAATTCGCTCAATAGCTACATAAATTATTATCTATATATTATTACTATGTATGAAATATTTTATTGTTAAGTTTTAAATCCATTGAGTATTTTTCGGATGAAGGTTAACCAAGATTCATACAAACGTAAAATTGAAATTAAAACCGCAAGTGGTTAATTTACAACTTTAAATCGTTGTAGATCCTAAACAGTCATATAAAATGAAAAATGGTGTAAAGAACTTAAACATAATTTTCGATTACCTATCTAGAGTTATCTAGAGAATGATATTCCACTCGATATGGCGCCTAATCATCCCCATATTGAATTACTAGCATTCTAATGATTAAGACGAATTGACTGTCGTATGAATCATCAAAATCGGTCCGCGCGTTTGGTCTCTAGTGTGCCACAAAAGAACATACATACATATATAGACTGTAAACACTGTACCCTGTCTGCGCATCGGGCTTCATGCTCTTGCATTGCGCAGTCGGGTAATAACACTACTTTTTGGTGGTATTTTTTCTGCCGGTGAGTAAGGTTCTATAGCTCCACGGGGTAGGGAATCGGGTCAGGGTAGGCAACGGCAAAAAGGGATATTTTTTGTATCGCAAGCGTCTATAAGCTATGGTGGCCGCTTATCGTCAGTCGGGCCATAACGGCTTGTTTGCCATCTTTTAACATAAAAAATCTCATATTCTTCATAGGCAACCGCAAAGTTACATCAGACTCTTAACTAAAAAACACGATAAAATATGATATTGACATTATTCTATACGTAATTGTTAAATGCCATTGTATTTATTCTAATGTCGATAAATTGCCGACACGCTGAAAGTGTTCACACCACTGAAAAAGATGACGCACACTTATTTCAATGTAATAAAAGCAATCGTTTATCGTTGAAATTTAGCAACTTTCGCAGTAGTTGGTCAGTGGATGGGTGACCAAAACTTTACTGTCTCGAGCTCCTCCGTGCTTCGAAAGGCACGTTAAGCCGTTGGTCCCGGCTGCATCTGCAATCGTTCGCACCCTCTAACTGGGCCCGCGTGGTGCGGTCATGGCCCAATCTCCTATACCATCCATAGGAAAGGCCTGTGCCCCAACAGTGCGGACATTCATAGACTGATAATGAAAAGGCAAAATATTAAAGTGCTCAACGGCACAGTAGTTTAGCGTGTTTAGTTAGCACATGTGAAAATGAAGCAATTTTTGAATTAACCAAAAATTTATGAATTCGAGGTCATGACGGTCATAGCTGCATAATCGTAATTTGTTTTTTTTTTTTGTTTTATACTTATCCAGAAAAACGAGCTGGCACTCTACCTGATGGTAAGTGGTCACTGCCTACCATGGACACTTGCAGCACCAAAGGAGCACTCCTGAGTTACTGGCACTGACTGAAAAGGTTTCCCCGCCTTTTGAAGACCGTCATATCATCGTCAACCGCTGAGGGAAGTTCGTTCCAGATCTTGCTGATACACAAAGAAAAGGAACGCGCATAACGCATGGTGCTAGAATGCAAAGATGTCCCACCCAATGCGAATAAGATTGTATCCACTAATCCGCAAGGGGCTCGTGTGGTGGGTTATAGCACTTTTTCCCTTCACAAGAAAGATCTGTGTCTCAGCAGTGGATATATTACCAGACTGGTGACAAAGAGCAATTATTTGTTCCTCAAATATGTGCACAGTCAATTAATTTTTGTTTTACAAAGAAGTTGGGAAAACTGCAGCTCATAAGCTGAGGACGTGAGCTGAGAAGTTCCACTCTTGCCTTTAAAATTATTAAAATAGTAACAATATAATAAACTGTGTTGTATCCTTAGGTATCATATTAGTAATGTTAATCCGGATACGCTTCTGTTAACCCTGGTGTGTCTCGAAGTCCTAAGACGCATAAATTCAAGACAGGTGTAAACGTTTATGCAAACGTCTGCAGCTACAGAACAAATAGAGCTTCAAGCTGCATTTGTGCTGGATTTGCACATGTGCCCCGTTAGTATAACTGCCTATATACATTGGATATTAAATAAAACACCGTACAAAATACCCAAACAGCTCTTGTACTCAATTTACAGAACACAACTACGAAAACCTTTTGTCCTGTAATCTGATCTCATAAACTATCTCTTCGTTACGGATCCTATACATTCAACACCACAATACAATTCATGAACGAAATCAAAAACGCAAAACAATAACATGTACAGTACTCACAAAATATGCTTTCCATTCGATTCGACCTACATTTTCTTTAACATTTGATCCGACACTTTTGATTTGGTAGGGGGAAACGAAATCAAGAGTCACCCTTTGGAATAGCGTACGTTGAAACCGCGGCGCAAGCCGCTCGTAAATCTTACATCCATAATAATATGTGAGGAGTAACACCTTGCTATTTGTACTGGCGCACTCCCGACAAAATGTAAGTGCCTATATCGTCTTCTACTTTAAGAGTTTTATTTTGAAGAGTAGTAGTGAGTATGATTGTATGAATAAGTAAAGTAATTTTATAGCTATTAACGGGATTGTTACCATGTACCTTGTTTATCATGAGTCTCCGATATTTCGGCACTGTTGCAAGCGCCATGATCACGGAGTACCTGAAGTAATTGCGGGTAGATGCTATATACAATGTATATGTATATATATATATATATATACATTAAGCATCTACCCTATCCCATCTATTGGCAGACAGACATATAGGTGTACCCTCTGAAGTCGTCTTTTACTGCGCTCGATACGTACCATTGGTCACATTCCGTGAGTATTGTGTGTCGGGAATAGGTGCGAGTGAAAAGTAAGAATGTAGTATGTAGGGGTATCGAGCGCAGCAGACGACGTCAGAGGGTAAACCGATACGTCTGCTATTAACATCTACCCGCAATTACTACTATAAGTGCCTATAAAATAAATATGAATATAATCATGAGAACTACAGCAACTACACATTGACATTGCAGCAATAATAAAACACGGCATTAGGTGATTTATTTATTAAGAAATAGCTCATCATCTTCATCAGCCTATTAATGTCCCCACTGTTGGGGCCAGGCCTTCCCTATGGATAGAGTAGGGAGATTTGGCCGTTACCCATCACGCGGGCCCAGTGCAGATTGGTGGGTGCTAACGACTGCAGATGTAGCCGGGACCAACGGCTTAACATGCTTTCCGAAGCACGGAGGAGCTCGAGATAGTAAATTTTTGGTCACCCATCCAATGGCCGACCACTGCGAGAGTTGCTTAACTTCAACGATCGCAGCCGAACGCGCTAACCACTTGCGCCATCGAGCTCCTCCTGGGATGAAATGAAATAAGAAACAGCTCATAAACATATAATTACAGATAAATTAAAGCTGGTTTATCAAAACAACAAACTGTGGAATCTTTAATGGGTATGAATGGTCCCGGTTCTCTCTATCTCCTATGGATTACTGCGTCCACATGGTATCTACTCTACTCTAAGATAGTATACCTACTTATAGTTGTGTTTAAAATTGTTTATTTTAATCAAGGTAGTCAACTTTTTGCGTCCCAGATTTCGTGCAAATTCATCATCAAGTCAAGGGTTTGCGTAAAACATTTCACCAAG